TAAATAATAGATTAGATTTAATTAATAGATTAACTGTATTGTTAAATTAAAATCTAAATGTTTAATTACATTTAGACTTTATGGAAAAAAAAGAAAAAAATTTTAAATACAGTAGTTAATTATAATTTCATAAATTATGAGATATAATATTATTAAAATAAATTATTTTTAGTTTTATGACAAATTCACTCATGGCCAAATCTAATATGGCAGCTGGAAAAGGCAAAGAATCTTTTTAGTCTAACCAAGCTATACAACTTAATAAAAGGTACGTTTATTTATATATATATATATATATATATATATATATATATATATATATATATATATATATATATATATATATATTTATATATATATATATATATATATAACATATATATATATATATAAATCTATATAACAATTATTAGGCGGGATTGTATTTCTAATCTAGCGAATACTAACCTGTTTCCTATTTTTCTCCTCTTCAAGCACTATATATATATATATATATATATATATATATATATATATATATATATATATATATATATATATATATATATATATATATATATATATATATATATATATATATATATATATATATATATATATATATATATATATATATATATATATATATATATATATATATATATATATATATATATATATATATATATATATATATATATATATATATATATATATATATATATATAGATAGATAGATAGATAGATATAGATATATATATATATATATATATATATATATATATATATATATATATATATATATATATATATATATATATATATATATATATATATATATATATATATATATATATATATATATATATATATATATATATATATATATATATATATATATATATATATATATATATATATATATATATATATATATATATATATATATATATATATATATATATATATATATATATAGATATATAGATATATAGATATATAGATATATAGATATATAGATATATAGATATATAGATATATAGATATATAGATATATAGATATATATATATATATATATATATATATATTTATTTATTGCGAAGAAGCCTTTATTGCGACCTGATAACATTGCGAAAAAAAGAGTATTTGCGAAGTTGGACAAAACCTGGACTGTCGTACAATGGAATAAAATGCTATGGAGTGATGAAAGTACATTTACTGTTATCTGTGGAGCTAAAAGAGCTTATGTTATGAGAATAGTAGGTGAATGATTTAGTCTCCTGTGTGTTAGTGAAAGATTTAGTCCTCTCATACAGTAAAGCATGGAGGAGGCTCTCTTATGGTATGGGGTTGCATGTCAGAATCAGGTGTAGGTCATTTATACTGTTGTACAGGCACGGTAAACCAGGATAAATATTTGGAAATATTAAAAACACAAATGAAACCATCAGCAAACAAACTGTTTAGTAAAAACAAACCATTTTTCTTTCAACAAGACAATGCTCCTTGCTACAAAGCTAAGAAAGTAATAAAATATCTCAAACATGCTCGTACCAATGCTATTGAATGGCCTCCACAAAATCCTGACCTGAACCCCATTGAAAATTTGTAGGAGGAGCTCTTCAGAAAAGTGCAGAAAACCAAACCCAGCAATTTGGATGATTTGTGGCAACATTTGCAAGCTGCATGGCTAGCAATCCCTGTTGACACCATCCAAAAGCTGGTACAATCTATGCCAAGACTTGTACAGGCCATGCTTGATGCGCATAGAGGGCATACAAAATACTAGTCTTTTAGTCAGAATTTCTTATGTTTTATAAGTGGCGCTTATTACTGACAATGCAGAGTCATTTTTATTTCAATGTGATGCTGTTTTATTTATATTGTGCCAAAAATGTGTATACATATATATATATATATATATATATATATATATATATATATATATATATATATATATATATATATATATATATATATATATGTATATGTATATATATATATATATATATATATATATGCAATGTGAAGTTATATATATTTTTTTAAAACATATATTTGTAATTTAAAAACTTATTACTATTATTATTATACTATATATTATTATTATACTATAATACTATTATTGCTGTTCAGATTGTCTATTTTAAATATATAGTTTTTTCTTTTAGTTTGTGCATCGACTTCTCACGAATTATACAGAGTCGATTGTCGATGCAATAATTGCTGATTCGTGAAAGCGGACAACTTTTGCTTGTCTTAAAGTGCCTTAAATCCAACAGATATCATCGTTATAATATTACTTTGTTTGTAAATTGTTTTAAAAAATAAATTTAAAAATAACTTTTAAATAAATTTTTTATTTTTCTTGTTTTTTAAACCAACAGGTTCTTTTAAAAACAATTTAATAATAGTACCTATGGATTTAGAAATATTTTCTAAAAAAATAACGTCTTTTAAAAGTTTAAAAGACGTTTTTTTATTATTTAATTTAGGTTATTTAAGAACGTTTTTTAAACGTTTCTTTTAGAACGTTTTTTAAACGAATTTTTTAGAACGTTTTTTAAACGCTTTTTTAAAAACGTTTTTTAGGTATTGCCATTCAGAACGTTTAAAAAACGTTTTTTTTCTTAGTTAAAAAAACGTTTTAAAAACGTTCATGTGCTTACTGGGATATATATTATATGCAAAGCTATATATATATTTCTTACAAGTTCTACTACTTGCTATATATTTTTTTTGCAAGTTCCACTACTCGCTATTTTTTTTTTGCAAGTTCCACTACTCACTATATATATATTTTGCAAGTTCCACTAATCGCTATATTTCTTTTTTGCAAGTTCCACTAATCGCTATAAAATTTTTGTGCAAGTTCCACTTCTAGCTGTAGATTTGCATATAATTGATATATATATATATATATATATATATATATATATATATATATATATATATATATATATATATATATATATATACAATATGAACATGTCAGTATTAATATAATCAATGAGTACAATATGAATATGTCAGAACTTCATTACATTATATAGAACTATATTACATTACCAAATACATTTCCAGATTGTCAAAAAGATTGTGAAGAAAATCTTAGAGAGCCACACAAATCACCAAACATTGATGCGTTTACACTTTTTACATTATAAAAAACGCCAAATAACTGCCAAGGAATCGTTCACCTCCATATATTTGTAGATTTCAGCCTTTTTTTTTTTTTCTTCAATTTTTATTAATATTTTTTTTTTACATTCATTTTCTACAATATTATATTAAAAAAATATATATATTGGAATTATATATAGGAATAATATATTTTTAACATAAATTTATACATCATTTTTTACAATATTATATTAAAAAAACCTTTTTCCACTTTTTGAGTGCCTCAACTAAAGTCAGTTGATGACCTTCTGAATCAAGTTCGTGGAGAAGTTTCAAGGACTGTAAAGGCTATACAACAATTAGATGCTGCCGAAATAGTTTTCTGCAGAATGAAGGCTAGCTAGATTGAGACTATGCGTACTGCAAGGCATGAACAAAGCTTGAGGATTTTTCTTGAGAATGATGGCCTGCACTCCTTTGTATACACCAGGCATATTAGCTCCTTTATTATAGCCCTGGCCCCTATAGTTCTTTAAATCAATTCGGCTTTGATCCGAAACGTCTATTTTCAGCTTTGCAATGTCAGAACCCGTTTTTCTAGGTTTTCTACCTTCAGAAAACGCTCTTTTACTATCTATTGGTTGTCAGATCCTAGGCGAACAAATCAAAGAACGAAAGTGATTTATTCCGTATGAGATACGTCTGCAGTTCCATAAACAATAATGGAAAAATAAATAGCTGTGTGGATTTCTTCAATTATAGTAGCAAAAACCACATGCATAATAAACTAAATCCGCCACTACCCCTTCTTCTGGGCGGCCCTGCTGGTCTATGTTAGAATATTTCTTTCCCTGGTACTTTGTTTATAACTGACCATATTTTCTTTTTGTCTAGTTTTTTGTCTATATTTAACTGATTAAAAAAAAAAATTATTTTAGCTTGTCTGATATCTTTTTGAAAGAGTTTTTTCAGGCATCGCGCTCTTTTTTTGTAACCTTGATCCTTTGAATTTAGATGATTATTTAATTTTATTTAGATAACATTATTTATTATTTAGATAACATACAATTTTATTTAGATAACATTCAAATATTTTTTTTTTTTTTTTTTTACTTTAATTGCTTTTGTTGGAGAGACAGTATAAAAAATCTTAAAAAGAATTAATAAAATTGGGTAAAAATTTCTCAAAAAACACAAAAAAAAAACACAAATCTGCACCCTATATCACCAAAATTTTTGAAACTTGGCACAAATGTTTATAAAAATATGTTAGGAAAGATAGTAATTTTTTTTCATAAAATTCCTTACTGTTTATAATTTACAGGAATTTGATTTTGACTGAAAACTGAGGGGGGAAAAGTGCCGAAAATCATTCCGTTTACTTTCACCCTTAATATGGTGCTTGTAATGATGCCACAATTCTGAAACTTTGTACCAAAAGAGTTTAAAATCTGTTAAATCTGAAAAATATAGTTTTTTATATGTCAAAACAAGAGAATGTAGCTTATTTTAAGATCGATAAAATATACTTTACAACGCCGAGAAAAAAGGGCATTGACAATTATAGCTATAAAAAAAATCTGACAGATATAAAAAAAATTTAATACCGATTTTCTTAAAAATAAGATCAACACCTACTTTTCGAACCAATTTTGTTTTGGTTTTATATTTACTTGAGGAATTATTGACGTTTGATATAGACACAAAATTTTTTAATATTTTTTAAATTAGACACTTAATATAACCCCACCTTTTACCAATCAATCAAATTAGTAACTAAAAATTTAGTGACTTTATTATCTTTTTCATTTTTATATGATATTTACAACAAAATTTAAACGTATATAATTTTTTTTTTAAAAATACATAACTTTAGTGAATTTATATATGCTTTACATTCACATTATTTACAAGTTAGTTCACAAAACATAATATTTAAAAAAAGAATGGATAAGACATTATAGACTCATAAATATAAAAATCTCTACTCCTTTAAGAAAATAATTTTTTTAAAGTCTTCTTTGGCTAAATAGTAGCAAAGTCCTGTTTTTTTTATCGGTACCTCAACTTTGCAAATAATGTGGACATCAGGAATCCAGCATTGGCTTTCCTTTGGTGGCCATTTAAACGATCGTGCAGGACCATTAGGACACATACATTTTACAAGCACATCTTTTTCTTCTAAATTAATATCTTCAATGACTCCTACCCACTACTTTTGCTCATAGGAAACACAGGCATAATCACCTGGTACTAGGTTTACAGTTGTTATCTGTATATTTTCAAAGTCATGAATTAAAGCAAATTCTTCATCAACACTGCATAGCTTAGTGCCTATCTAAACAAAATAGTAACATATGCAATTATTCCGTTTTACTTATCAAACATGTTTTATTATATGCATAGATAGCAAATGCAGAGGAAATAAAATAAAATACAAATATTTTTGATAATGATTCTGCAAAAATCTAATATCTATTTGAGTTTATCAATAAAAGTTATGCGTGTATTTTAAAATATGGTAAAAGGTATAACTAAAAAATAATAATTTACCTTTTTATGGCCAAACTGATGGTAACTACCTGTTCCAGGTATTGTATCCAATCGTTTGTAGTATCCAATCGTTCTTTAAGAGCGGTTCTCACCAAAGTTAAATCTTCAGATGAAATATATATGAAATTTATGCCTTCAATGTTTTCATTGCAATATTTATACATTGTTTGTGGAGATAAAACATGATTACCCATATCTCTTTGCAAACTTGCTAATGTTGCCAGACGTTTGACTGTACCACCTATCCCATCACAAGTTTGCTTACTGTGACTAGTTGCAAAAAAGTTCCATTTAGCAGTAAAACCAAAATCTTCACAATGGAAACAAAGATTAAACATATTTTTGCAATTCTTATATTGACCTGCACACCCATCTGAAAAGTATTCAATATTTTTTATTTGAGGCAAATTTGTTTTTATATCATTGCAAACAAACTCAATAATTTTATAAACCATGTTCACATCATGGATCATATCATCCGAAATAATACAATAGGATTTGTGCTTGCCTTCTTTTTTGAAATAAATAACTGGATGAAGTGTACATTGTAAATTTGTCCAATGAAAGCTTTGCACTTCATCCTGAACTACAAATTTATAGTTTTCTGAAAAATCACCCAGAAATAATGCTGTTACCTCATTCATATCTTCCTTTCTTGATCTCAGATATAATGCTTGACTCTTTGCTAAATACTAATGTGGTGCAATTTTTTCCAGTTTTCTACATACTAGTTCAATGTATTCAAACACTGGCTCTATATTATGTGTCAAGTTTGACCTATCTGTTGTTGTCCATTGATCAAATTCAATCTCATCATCATCTTCAAACTCTCCAAGTATATCATAAAGTTTTTCAACCAACGCATTCATAGTTGCTGGGCATTTTTCACATTTCCTCGTCATACAGTTTTTATTAGTTATATCACAGACAATATAAGGTAACATTTCTTTGTATGTCACACCAAGAGGATGTAAAAGCAGATTCAAATTTGATGAATAGCACAGACGCATACAGAATGTGTTCCTGAGGCACCAACAGTAATACACCATTTAGGTCGCAAGGTGCAAAACCTTGAAAATTTTATTTTTATTTCTGGGTTCTTGGTTTTAAAGGCAACAAACAATTCCTTTAAATTACATAAGAGCAAACGTTTTTGCATGTGGACATTTTTCTTTATGCTTACATAGTCCTTTTTACCAGGTATTATACGACTATGTTCATTGTCTTTGTAAAAGGTCTTGACCAGTTGAACTGTTACATCAGGAAGATCTTTTCCTAATTTAGGATTAGGCATGGTTAAAATACCTTTTTCTAATGTTAACTTATGTGCAGTTCGAGCTACATAGTTTGTTACATGCAATGTTTTAGATACCTTTTTTATTGACCAGTCTGTTGGAGCAAGTGTCGCAAGTTGTACTTTTTTTGATGTTGATGTAGACTCTGCAACTTTGTTAGTTAACAATACCATCATGTTATCAAACAAGTTTGCTTTTTCTATATACTCATTATTAAAACTTGACTGCTCTTCAAAACTTTCTTCTGATATATTAAGGGAAATGGCTACCTTTTTTTTAATGGAGGTTGTTAATGCTGTCAATTTTCGTTTACCTTCTCTGATTTTACCTGACTTGTTGTTGTGTTTTCTATTTTTTTGTTATTGAACTATTTGTTTTATATGTGTCTATTTTCTTGTATCTTTAGATTAGTATAATTATTGCTAAATAAAGCCTTAATCAAGAGGTCAATCTTTTTATTAGTTCATTACAATTTATTTAACAAACATATAAAATTATTGGGAAATGTCAAAGATCTTAAAACCGACGAGGCTTGATCTTGATCATAATGCACCATCTGCTTCAAAAGAATGGAAGCATTAGAAACGAACATTTGAAAAATTTATTGAGGATCGTGGAGAGGATGCTTCAGACAAATTTCGCTCCATCATTAATTTTGTTTCATCAAATGTTTATGACTACATTGAAGAGTGTGATTCCTATGAAAGTGTAATTGAAACCCTAGAAAACTTATATATAAAAACCCCTAATGAAAATTTTGCAAGGCATCAATTACTTATAAGACATCAAACATCGAGTGAATCATCAGAAAACTTTCTTCAGGAACTACGTAAACTCAGTAAAAACTGTAACTACAAGGATGTTTCAGCTGAACAATATCGAGAGGAACAAATAAGAGATGCTTTTATTTCTGGAATAAATTCGAATTACATTCGTCAACGACTTCTTGAAAATTCAACATTGAATTTGCAATCAGCATTTAATCAAGCTTGTTCTCTTGACGTTGCACAAAGAAACTCATATTCTTATATGCAGAAAACATCCTCGATTTCCTCCAATTAAAATATTGTTGCCGCTATAAAATTACCAGAAGAACCCTCAGCAACACTCAATGCTATGACTATTAATCCTTTGTATTGATTAATCTCAAACAGTTAACCTTTACACTGAGTTAGATGCATATCCTCTTCCCAGAATAAATGATATGATAAATAGACTTGCAAAGTACAAAGTATTCTCTACATTTGACTTGTGCTTACCACCAAATCCCTATTAAAAATTCAGACAAAAAGTATACAGCATTTGAGGCAAATGGGAAACTATTTCAATTTTGCAGGATTCCATTTGGAGTTACTAATGGTGTGTCTAAGTTTCAAAGGTCTATGGACAAGTTTGTTGAAGAAGAAAAGTTACATGACACTTTTCCATATCTTGACAATATAACCATTGGTGGTTATGATCAGGCACATCATGATAAAAATTGTCTGCGGTTTCAAGACGCTTCACAACGTTGGGTCTAACTTTAAATGAATCAAAACCGGTTATTTCAGCTTCTTCTATAAACATTCTTGATTATTGCGTTAGTCATAACAACATAAAACCAGATTCTGAGCGATTATGTCCTTTAGACTTACTACCTCCTCCTTCTAACATTTTATCATTTAGGTGAACTTTGAGTATGTTTTCTTATTATTCAAAGTGGATACCTTCGTTTGCTAATAAAGTTCGGCCTTTAATTAATGTAAAATCTTTTCCTATCAATAGTGAGGCACTTAAAGCATTTCAATTTCTTAAAAGAGAACTTCATGCTGCCACTTTGAGTTCTATTGATGAGAGCTTACCTTTAGTTGTTGAATGTGATGCATCAGATGTAGCCGTATCAGTTACCTTGAATCAGAATGGTCGTCCAGTTGCCTTTATGTCTCGAACATTAGGCAAAAGTGAAATCAATTACCCATCAGTAGAAAAAGAAGCTGTGGCTATTATTGAAGTCGTTCGAAAATGGCGACATTTACTGTTACGGAATCAATTTAAATTAATTACTGATCAGCGTTCTGTAGCTTTTATATTTGATAACCGAAAGAAAACAAAGATTAAAAATAGTAAGATTCAATGCTGGAGGATGGAGTTAGCAGAGTTTAGTTATACTATATCGTATCGTCCTGGAAGTGATAATATTGTCCCTGATGCACTCACACGTGTTTTTGTGCTACAACTCAATCTCAAACAAACCTAAGTGGTATACATAGCTGTCTATGTCACCCAGGAGTTACTCGTATGCTTCACTTTGTTAAATCTAAAAATTTTACCTTTTTCTACAGAAGAGGTCAAGAGAGTTTGTTCTAACTGCCAGATTTGTTCAGAATTAAAACCAAAGTTTATCGATCCTCAAATGTCTGTGAGTTAATCAAGTCAATACGTCCAATTGATCACCTAAGTATAGATTTTAAAGGACCATTGCCATCTAATTCTAGAAATAAATATCTGTTTATAGTCATTGATGAATATTCTCGGTATCCATTTGCTTTCCCATGTCCTGATATTAGTTCAACAACTGTTGTGAAGTGTTTAGATCAAATATTCTCCTTTTGTGGTTTTCCAATGTACATTCATTCCGACAGAGGCTCATCAACCCAATATCTAATGAATTAAAATCTTACCTTACTCAGAAAAGAATTGCAACAAGTAATTCTACCCCATATCATCCTATCAGTAATGGACAAGTTAAGAGATATAATGGCTTGATCTGGAAAAATATTTGTTTGGCACTAAAAACCTACAACCTAGATGTTAGAAATCGGGATATTGTTCTATCAGACGCTCTCCACTCACTCTGTTCGCTACTTTTCGTTAACTCCTGGCCCAATTTTTCCAAGACGTTTTGTGCGTACAAACAAAAACGATAATCTCGTGGATAAGGTTGAATTAGTGGATGTAAATCCAATATATGCTAATATTTGTTACCCTGATGGACGAGAGTCAACTGTTTCACTTCAAGATCTTGCACCGTATCCTGCCCCAAGAGAAAAGTTTAATGATATCAATGAGAATAGTATCAATGAGTCTAGTGAGAATGTAACTGCCAAAGTACTTGATGTAAATAAAGACCCCTCCCTGAAATTGCATCGGAAATCAGAGTTAGGGTAGATGAGCCAGTAACTGAGCCATTTACTGATGTATTATGACGTTCTGCCAGAGCTTGTAAAGCTCCTGTAAAATATGATGACTATATTTTAAAATGATAAAACTAGTTTATGGGTTCTTTTCTACATAGATGGGAAGATAGTTGTGTTTTCTATTTTTTGTTATTGAACTATTTGTTATATAAATGTGTCTATTTTCTTTTATCTTTAGATTAGTACAATTATTGTTAAATAGTTGTACAAATCTAAAGATTTAATCAAGAGGTCAATCTTTTTATTAGTTCATTACACTTGTGCAATCCTTTGACCTTAATTGGAGATACTGCGGCAGATGCAAAGTATGTATCTACACTTTCTTTTTTATTTTGAATAGATCTTTCATTAACAATATCAAAATCTTCATCATTTTTATTTTCACTTATACTTTTTGATAAACATGTTATAACTTTACTTCGACAGGTTAGACACAGTTTTTTTCCAGGTATAAGATTTAAACCTATAGTTTCTGCTTCTAACACAGTATGCATTGTAATCACACGTAAAGATGCTTAAAAAGAAAGTAATTACATTACTTAAATAACATATATTATGTAATTATATTACTATACAATTTGTTATATTAATAACTATGAAACATTGAACAAATCTTATTATCAAAAAAACTCATATGACTTATTAATAATGGTATTGAAAAATAATGAAACATAAATATATAAATTTTTACCTCTACACACCTTTTGGTGACTTAGAAATGGATTACAGCAAGTTTTCTGATTACTCTCATATCTTACAACTAAAATATCATGATGGTGTGTGCATATTTTAGTAATTTGTTCTTGTTTCAGATTTGTTCATTTTTCAAGTAGCTTACGATCATTGCTGTCAATATATATATATATATAAATATGATTGTTTATAACAAGCTTCGTAATTATTTACAAAGCAGCAATTAATTTTGTTATCCATATAAAAATATAATAAGGAACCTCTGTCGAAACACTTAATACAAGAAATCTTAAATAACCTTAATGTCCCTAACAAGAAAAGTACACTTGAACACAAACAATATCATATCAATGTGTATTTATAAAGAACATATTGCTTGAACAAGTAGCTATTAGTTTAATAGACATATTTTAAATGCCTAACTATCTATTAATTATTGTAAATTCTCCATTTACTACTTACAAAAAGTTATGTAAAAGTAAAAGATAACTAAATATAATTTTATTTAGTTATGTAACTTAACATGGTAATGTTAATTAGACATTATTATATCATTTTATTACTTTTTTTATTGATGATAATAAATGTTTTATTACAACAAAACAATCAACAACAAAAGTTAAATAATATTGTTAAATTTAATGACATGATATTATGTAATGAAAATGACATTATTATTATGTAATGAAAGTAAAAAGAAACAAATTTATAAAATGTTCAACTATGTTTTGTAATAACTTTGTAAATTTTTTACAAAGCTATTACAAAACAAAAATAATTGTATTTGTATTCAAAATATATTTGCAAAATTTTTTTTTTTGCAAAATATCTTTAGAAAAATAGAAAAAGTAAAACATCAATAACTCCTTGATAAAACAAAAGGACAAATAAAAATTGGTTCGCAAAATAGATATATCTTTAATATTAAAAATAACGAAAACCAAAATTTTTTTTTATCAGTCAGATTTTTTCTGCAACTATAGTTCGAATTAGCGAATTTTTTCGCTATGACGAAACGCTGTTTTGATTTCCACTTACTTTCTTTCGCGCTACTTTTTTTTCGTTGTCAACAATAAAAATGGCAGCAATAAGTTTACGGTGTATGTTTAACTTAAAGCAGTTAATACTTTTTTAGCATACTTTCTACTTTGAAGCATGTGAAAATTTCTTTCCGTGCATTAATATTAACATTTCTGCCTTTATATGTAAGATGTGATATTATTTTGTAATATAATCGTTTAATATAAGGTTTTTTTTTACAAGAAAGTATAAGAAAATAAATATTCGCTTCGCGCGAATTTTTCGTCTTGTGGAAAACGGCCTTTAATTCTAGCGGCGAAGTGTTGCACACAATTTTTCTTTTAGGATTTGAAATTATCAAAGGTATTGAGTCTAAAAATGCAAAGAAAGTTATGTGATACCTAAGGCCTATTAATATATTAAGGCTTGAAATTGGAAAAAAATGTTTTAGTATACTTACAAAATGAACCATTACGGCAGAGGCGCTTAGTTTTGTAAAAATGTAAACATATCCAACTGTCAATACAAAAAGGTCCTAACATAATAATAAAAAAAAATCGTGTGATTTTGTCACACGCATGATATAACATGACTTAAAAACTGAACAAAAATCTAACATCAAGATGACTATATTGCTAATTAAATAAAACATAAATCAAACATTTAAATGTTTTTCCATTTAAAAATTAGTTTTTCATTTATTAATAGAGTCATTTACACACATTATCCACCACATCACACATAATTTCTACTCTGCTGCAGTAAGTTTCTCTAAGAATAATGATATGACTGTATGATAGTCTTCTTCGGATAATGAATAATCGCCACAACCACTGATTAGAAAAGGAGCATTTACTAAACACATAATTTTATCAGTTTGGTTATTTATCTCCTCGGTAGTAACTGGCCAGCAAAAAGTATTCTTCTCTTGCCCTTTAATCATACAATTAACTCTGATCCCAGTTATAGATACCTAAAAGTATTAGCGCAACATTTAAAATAATATAATAAAGAGTTTATGATTTGTTTAATTTTGCTTACATTCAAAAAACTTGTAAAGTCTTATATAATGTCATTCTGAAATTATTTTTACATTTTATTTATATTCCTTTTATTTTAGAGCACTGATTTGTAAAACAAAATAAAAACTTGAAACTAATATATACTTTGAATAATATTACCTCCACAATATATCCAATATTCCATTGTTTTTCATATGCAACAGCAACCCAATCATTCACTTTCCATACAAGACAAATTTATTTTGCAAGATTGGCGATGTCTTCCTCATATTTATTATCATCTTCATTGTCTCCTGTCAGATTAAAGTCATCATTTTTGCCATAAACTTCTTTGTTATCGTTAACCTGACTATTTTCATTATTTTCTGTTGTCGGTTCTACCAGCTTACCTTTTCTTTTCAAGTTACTAAATTTATAACAATATCAATTGCAAATATTTTTAAACATATGTAAACAAACACACAAAATTTATAACTTTTACCTAAATTTTAATTTCATATTTGTAAAATAACTATTTAACAGTCAGAAACATAATCTAATTTGCAAAAGTTTTGGTAGCAACAATGCCTACCTTGAAAATAAAGATCTTATCTGTTGGCTAGTTACATATTGATCAGGCGGAAGTTCTCTCTTCAGCTGCATGTGAACCTGCTCAGGGCTCATTTTATTACCTGATTCTTCTCCACGAATAAAGCATTTATACAACAGTTCTTTCTGCTGATTTGAAAATCTAAAAGAACTTCGAACTCGTAATGCCCAACCTTGCAATAGAAAAATGTTCATGCAATGTGATTTGTCTTTTACGGAAGCACTGTTAGAGGATTAAGAAATTGGCATATTTAGTTGTCAAGTAATTTTCATCTTATGAACAAACGAGTTGCGAACTTTATCCAATGATGTTAATGATTTCGGAACTGTATGAAGACCGGTTAGCATGTGTTCTTCTAACTCAGCATCGCTTTCAAATGATAAAGTACAATTCATTTCAGTGCAAAATCTTAATGAATATAATTGCCTGTCACTTCTTTTCTGCTTTTCCTTAAGTGACTTGTTACGCTTAATTGAATTATCTGTTTTGCTATATGGCAACAACAACTTAATCGAGGGTTGAATTTTAAGATTTCCATACTCTTGTTCAATTCCCTCACCGATATTGAAATAACGCCACATCTTCATACTTTTCTCACCAAACTCAAATGAGTGATAGTTGCTAATGTTCTTAATCTTTGGTCCAGTAACTACAGTTTTATCATTGCTAATTTGAGCAACTGCTACTTTTGCATCTTTAGCGCCAAAACTATAATGCATAGCCTTGTGTATATCTTCAGCAGTCAAAAGATTATTACCAGAGTCAACGTAACTCCTTAAAATTGTCTTTACAACTGCACTCTCCCTGTCACATTGATCTTTTCCACAACAGGGTTCATTATAATAATATGTCAGCAACTTTATATCTCTCTCTTTGCATACATTGTAGATTGCTTCAGCTGAAAGATTTCCCTGATAGCAGCCGGCATTATCAGATTTGGTAAACATTTTCTTGATATGCGGTTGATCAATTCTGAATTGGTCTAAAACTGCAGTGGCTAACGAAACAACTTCACCTATTCCCTGATCACACCTATACATTGAAGTAAAGTAAACACGTTTGAATAACTTTCCTGCTATTTTTATGAAGAATATATCTACATGTAAACTCATTCCTTTCTTGCCAAAATACTCTCTTTGGCCCTCTGTGTATCAAACCGGAAGAATTTTTTGACAAAAATCTTTAAGCCAGAAAGCAGTTTCATCGTTTAATTGCTTAAAAGCTTCGATTTTTGCCTTTTTCTGTTGAGAATCTCTCATCAGGTGTTTTATGTAGTTGAATACATCCTTTACAGCAATTTCCAAATCATAAATAGAATCAGCATCGTCAGAATTTTGAATTGTTAGTTCTTTGATCATCTCGATAGCTTTGCACAAATCATAGCAATCGGCACATACCACTTCTGATATCTCTGTGTTGGATTGAAGATTTTTTACATTATTTCAAACATTTCAAAAATTGGCACAAAGATTTAGTTCTAAATCTCTTCTTCGAGAGATTTAGAACTAAATCTTTGTGCCAATTTTTGTAATGTTTGAAAACCATTCATGCCTGAAGCAGTAACATCATCTAATCCAGCTAAGCTTTTTCGACTTGAAGGTTTTATTGCATGCAATACTTTCCACAAACTTGAATCAGATAATGGTATATAATTGTTTTCACTACAACTTTTTCGATAGAACATGATAGCGTGGCTATATTTTGTCGTCAGTATTGCATGCACTATCTTTTGTTCTTCACCGCTGTCGTATTTTAATTTGGTTATTCCATAAGCAACATCATGCAAATTACCGCTTGTTAATATAAAGTCTAAGAAATGTTCACACTTTATTTGATCAAGACTAGATCGGACGAATACTTTCTTCTCTGGAAATGCCAACCCTTTATGAGATGCATGCCATTTTCTTGCTATTTCTATACGATGTTTGGTACACTCAAATGTGTTCATTATAAACTTTTTGGTATACTTGGTATGGTCTAATAATGAGAGGATAACTAACTTTCCCATGGAATCACTTTGCTTATATACTTTCTGAGCACGAATAATTTCAATTGGGAGAGGGCTATTTATTTCATCAACATTTTTACTGTTAAGAAAATCTATAAGTATTTCCTCTTGTCCAGGAGCAACAGCTTCCGCAAATTTTTTCTTTAATAAGTTTTCTAGGCGAACATACTTGCGTTTTAACTTATCTTTAGTAGTATCTTCCAGATATTCGAACTTCCTTTTTAATCTAAATTTTATTGGACTTGCATTAAGAACCTCAGTTACACTCTCACGGCTTCTTAGAGATTCGTCCAAAATTTCCTGTGAAACATTAATTTCGCCGGGATCAAATTCTTCATCTGGAGTAGCAGGTGTCATATATGTTTGTTCTTGTTGTGTTTGTGTTTCTGCACATAAATTGGTGTTTTCGTTGACTCTAGATAAAGCAGTTTCTTACTTTAAATGGGTAAAACACAGCATTGCACCAACTGAAAATACTTCATTGCATAGCTTTGACATTGATATGACGACATGTATTGGTGACGCCCTTAAAGCGGGAGATTTTTTTCCTTTTATATTTAGATGGTGAGGATGAAAGCATGTTTTTGGAGGACTCCATGCAATACCAAACGTGTACCGGTGAAAAGCACATATTTGTTCATCCTTTTCAAGATTTCTTTAAAGTCTATTTGCAATAAGTCCATTTTCTTCCCAAATATTATTATCGTTTAATCGCATGACCTAAAAATAATTTTTTAAACAATTATTAAGTGTGTCATTTAAAGCATTGTTTATAATCTGACTCTTCACGAAAAATGTTTACAAGTTTGAAATACATTGTTGTTATTATTAAAATACAATATTGCAAGAGTGTGATTAATTTAGTGATTATTTATTAAAAGAGTGAGGAATTAATTAAAAGAGCTATTTTTTTTTTGTTTAAAGAACTTTGTCTCAAAATCTTATTGCAGAGAAGTTATAAAGTATGTAATTATAAAAATTATATTACAGTCTGCGTAAATTTAAAATACATAATTACCTTTAAGTTGATGAGGTGTTTCTTAACATCAACATCTCCCAGCTGATGAATGTAGAACATTTTGTTTATAATTTTATGTTTTTTGAATGATCCACAATTTCCTTTTGAAAAGCAACAACAGTTTTCATAAAAATATATGTTTTGTTCCATACTCAACTAAAAACAAGTTCTATTTATGCAGTACCTATTTCTCAATAGCAATGATAAAATATCTACTCTGTTTATGCAAATTTTAAAGATCGTTAAAATAAAGTTAAGACAATTTATGGTAAAGTAAACAACTGCCCACTAACTTGTTTCTCCACAATCGTGATATCAGCGATTCTTCTTCCATTCGATCACCACAAGTTATTTGGTTATGACGTAAATTTAAATAATTCTTTTCTGATCATGTATTGTTTTTTATTATTATTTATTACAATTGTTATGATTTCTATATCATAGTCAGAAACGCTTAAACTTTTTCTTAACATTACGTGCAATGTTTTGTGTAATGCTAATTGCTAATTTTGGATGATAGAAATTTTATTGTGAGCGAAAACATCATCTGTGTGTCAAAAAAAATATCTCTTCGTACTTAATCATTTTTAACAATTTGTACCTTTATTTTTAACTTAATATCTAAAGATCACATGAGTTTTTTTTTAAACTATGTTAGGGTCATCTTATACTGACCATTTAACATGATTATATTTTTACAAAACTTAGCGCCTCTGCCGTAATAGCTCATTTTGTAAGTATACTTAAACATTTTTTTCCAATTTCAAGCCTTAATATATTAATAGGCCTTAGGTATCACATAACTTTCTTTGCATTTTTAGACTCAATACCTTTGATAATTTCAAATCCTAAAAGAAAAATTGTGTGCAACACTTCGCCGCTAGAATTAACTCCGATTAAAAATTGACAAAAATGATTGATTTTGTACTTTTAAACTATGATAATTAGGCAACCGCACAATGTCACGCAACTTTTTTATATTTTTTGGAGAGAGCTTTTGGGTTACGTCTGATATTAACTACAAAAGCTATGTGCAACTTTTTGCCTTGCCAAAAAAATGGGTTCAAAGGTAGCAAAAACTAAATTTCTAAAAATTTTTAAAAAAATCTCAAAAATTTAAGCCCAGATTCCGAGTGAACGAAACATTTTTGAAAATTTTTTTTTGTCCCCAACAATTTGGACGAGGTCACTTCCATTGACTGCCTGATTCTTACAAAAATGACTCTTAAGTAATGGAAATTTTCTGAGCAATCAGCTTCTTTATAGTTTTCATAATTTTATTTGATATTCCGTTGATTTGAAAATGTTAAAAGTTTGTTATCAGCAAACATTTTTAATGTAAAATACACCTTTTCAAGATGTAATTGAGAAAACAAAAATTGTAATTAAGAATCGTAAGATGTAATTGAGAAAACGTAAGTTGTTATTAAGAAACATAAGATGTAATTAAGAAAACGAAAATTGTAATTAAGAATCGTAACATGTAATTGAGAAAATGTAAGTTGTAATTAAGAAATAGAAAGATGTAATTGAGAACACGAAAATTTTAATTTAGATATCGCTTTAAACGAGTAAGTGTAAAATGGCGCTTAAAAAAAAATGGCGCTTAAAAAATTGGCGCGTAAAAAAATGGAGCGTATAAAATGACGCACTTAAAAATGACGTAAGATTTGTAGCATAAATTTAATTTTTTAGGGAAAAATTTAGGGAAAAATTTATAATTTTTGGGCAAATGAATTTAACATAATAAACACTAAAAACATTTTAGGGAAAAATTTATAATTCAATTAAAAATTATAATTAAAAATTATATAATTAAAAATCACTTCATTGATCATTTAAGCACCAACTTGTACGTCTTCCATATTTAAAATAGTTGTATAGTGCGTGGTTGTGTGTTGTACCGCACGTGAACAATCTCCTCCCATTATAGTATTTTTCGTCTCAATTACAATTCGTTCTAAGTACTGCATGCGCTGTTCCGCAATCCCGTCACCTAATACAGGTGGAATGCGAATTGCATTTTTAACGTTACTTTTAATTTTGGACCAGATCGTTTCCACCGGGTTCAACATTGGACTGTAAGGTCCCAAACGTAACAACTGAGCTGGTGAATTATCAAACACCCTTTGCAAAAGAGCGTGACAAGGAGCATTATCTGTAACGACAACCAAATCCTCCAAACGATTCCCGGATGTAACCCACTGGTGAAACATAGCCAACATCCACTCGTTACAGAAATCTGCTTTAAATGATCCCCTGCGAGTTTCTATCATGACGACATTTGTAGTTGAAATAGCTGCGATCAAGTGTATGTTTAAACCTTTTGAAGCAAGTACTTTCATAATTGCTCTTTTTCCTTGTCTCGCGCGTCCTTGCGTTTTTTTACAAAAAAGGTTAAAATTTGTTTCACCCAACCAAACTATCTGACGACCATTTGTGATATGTTCGTTGATGTTTCTAACATATTCAGCTCTTTTTTGTTGGTTTTCATAACTGTTCATTGTAGAAGGCTCCTTGTGCACTTTTTTTAATGAGAACAATCTGCCTTCGAGGTAATTTGCTATTGTTTTTGTGCTAACGTTTATGTTAAATTGTCTTAATATCTTTGTTTTGATGGCCACCAATGTTAATTGACAATCATTTTCAATCCATGTTAATGTTTCTTCGATTTGATCTTCGGTCAACTTTTTAGGTTTAAAACCTCCTTTTCCGATGAAATTTGAATTTCCGCTGGGAACCCAATTGTATGCTGTCTTATATTTGATACCTAGCGTTTGCGCGAGATTCACCCAATCTTCAAATCGCTCCGCACATTCAACAACTCTTCTCCTGTCATTTGGAGAAGATAAAACGTAACGTTTCCTTTCAACTTGTTCAGTTGTGTGTATTTCATGCCGACAAATCGGACAACTTGAATCTGGTTGTTCCAGAACTGGACGTAAACAAATTTGGTGACATAAATGTTGACACGGATTTAGCTTAATCACAGACTTTTGGGTCATAGTGTATTGGCATATAACACAACGATCTTTCAATTCTATTACTATTACTTGTGCATACAAAAGCAAAATTTAAGATTATAACTTAAATTCATGTCCAAAAAGACCTTTTGTAACAACCTACAAACTTAGACTGTGAATTTGCTATTTTAATTTATGTGTTCTCAATTACAAGTTACGATTTCTCAATTACATATTATGATTTCTCAATTACATGTTGTGTTTCTTAATTACATGTTACGACTTCTTATTTACATGTTGTGTTTCTCAATTACATATAACGTTTTCTCAATTACATGTTGTGTTTCTTAATTACATATTACGACTTCTTAATTACAACTTTCATGTTCTCATTTACATCTTGAAAAGGTGTAGATTGCATATTATCGAAAATATTACTTAATTTTGCGAAATTTTAACAAATTTACATTTAAATATTTTTCGAAATTTTAACAAATTTACATATAAATATAAAATTTTTAAATGATATTTTATTAATTCTATAATAATATTACTGATATTGATTCCAAATTTAGTTATAAGTTTTAATTATCGGTTTAACAAAATACAAATAATTCAAACCAAATCTTTTTTTTTATTCGAGTCAACTGAAAAACTAAAATAATAACAAACACACATAAGTTTTTGAAAGAAAAAATATTTTAATATCTTAAATAACACTAAATTATAAAAAATATTTTTATTATGTGCAATAAATAATTTTAAAGTCATTAAGGACTGTTCAAATAAATTGCCTTACACCAAATGACTGATTTTGTTAAGTACCTGTTACATAGACATAAAAATAGAAGAATTGCGTGATTGCTTTTGTTGGATTCAGATAGCAGTGGTCCTAAATTCATGTTTGTATACATTAATTATACAAAGTTATGTTTGTATACATTGATAAACTAAAAAAAAAACTTTACAACTTCTTGATAAAAAGCTTTAAATTAGTTCTTTAAAATTAAAAAATTAAATTTCAAAAACTAAAAAGTTCATGCTAAAAAATAAAAAAATTTAACATAACTAAATGTAACAAAAAATTAATAAATCATAATAAAACCTATCTTTAAAAAAATATGTAATCAATAAAATACTTTATTGTTAAAAAAGTTAATTCTTGCTTATGATAAAAAAATTCTTGCTTAGGTTTTTAATTCTTAATCAAAGTTCATACCTCTCATAAATCTTAGGCCTAGTGGAGTGGACATGTAAATACAACGGGTTTGGGCTGGGCAGGCAGTTAAAAATAATAATTTAAAAAAACTATTATAAGCCTACTGCTTTACTTACATAAAGAACATACAAATCTTTATTTTGAATCATGCTTGCACAGTTGCAGCTCAAAAAATTAGACTATTCGAAATTAATCCTAATTTTGTAATTTTGAAACAATTTTTTTTGGTTGTTATAATCATATACAACAAAACATATAAAATATTATGTTCTTTGATTGATAGGCTTTTTAACGCATAATATAGTGTTCAAACTGGTGGTCACTAGTGTCGCCAACCAACTACCATAGTCCATCTATTTTAGGCATTCCATATCGCACTGTTCTTTGCATCTGACTTTAAAACAATGGCTTATGATTTATATTCAAACTTGCTAATATCTAGTTATTCTTACAAGACAGCAAGTTTATTATCTAAGTTGTACAATGACGGTGCTTTGCTAGAATGATATAATCATTACAACTTTCTTAAAATTTCCTTAAAAAAGAAAGACGTCAACTTGAAAAGCTCAGGCTCCATCTTCTCTCTCTCTGTTTTTCCTACTCGACAAAACCGAAAAGGCACTAACATAGTTTGAACTATTGGTTATAGTTGTTTTATCAATCTGAGGATTCAAAAAACATAATTAAATTCCAAATTTCAATTAACTCTACTTTTTTTTATTTTCAAAACATATTCTGGAACAAGAAACAGTTTTTTGTTGACAGTTTGAACTAAATTGCTTCTACACACGCTCCTGTTTATACTCAACTCCTTATGAAGGTCGGACACGACGTCTTCTAAGGGCTTCCCAGATTGGGCATCTTTGATACCTGACTCCTTGTAATTAATTTTGAGAATAAAAACTACAACTATAAAAATCGTTAAACGAAAATATTCTGAAAATCTGAAACTAAAATGTAACGAGAATAAGCATTATTTAACACGAAGAATTTTTAAACATAAAGAATAGATTGCTTTGTTTATAATTTTTCAATGTAGCAGTTGCAGTGCAAGTATTTTTTAAAAAAATGTTGTTTTACTTTAGATCAAGATTACTATAATAAGATGATAGAAAAGTCTATATTAACAAGTATGTATGCATAATATAAATAATTCATCTAGTTAGTTTTAGAAAGTTTGTTTAATAAACTTTTGCCGATTCTTCAATGTTTTAAAATTAAGTTGCACACATCTGAGGTTATTTTGATAACACAGGAAAATTTTGATATTTTGAAAGAATTATTTTGTATCTGAATATAGACTTAATAAAGACATAAATGTCTAAAACAATACTTGCAATCAACTTATCAGAATAATCAAACATCATTAAAACATATTTAAAATAAAAAACTAATATTTTACCTTTAAGACAATCAATATCATTATCATATATCATTGTGTTAAAAATAATTTTGAAATGAAAGTCTTCAATCATATCTAAAATAAAATATAAAAATAGTAATAATAAAAATAATAAATATTATTATAACAAAATATCATAGTAAAATTATTATTATGATGAAAAAATATTAATAAATGTAGTACGAAAGAAAAAAGAAATTCAAGTATAGATAAAATGAAAAGGCATAACCTAGCTACGGAGAAATTTCAGAGAGGGCAGCAAGAATCAATAACGTATAGACGTAGACAATAACGTATAGACCTAATCAATAAAATTTATTTCTATTAAATATCCTATAACAACTGCAAAGAGTAATCCGATAAAGTTATTTTTTTTTTTTTTATTTTAATTTTTTGTTCTTTAATCTTTACAAGTTCGTAATACATAATATAATCGTTTACAGAGTATAATAAAATTTAAAAAAAAGTCACAAAGTTACGTTATACAAAGAATAAATAGAATAACCTGTAAAGTATTAGAAATTACTTTAAAGAACTCGGGAAACTTGCAGAAGACCGATGATCTTGTCATCAAGAAACCGCTTAGCGTTACATATATTTTTGGATACTTCAATTTAAAATAAGTTTGTATTTAAAAAATAATGTTATAAGTTTCGGCAGAATAAAAATAAAAATACAAAATGGAAAAAATAAAAAAAAAACAAAGAATACAGACAAAAAGTTTTTAATTCTTTTAACTTTATTTCAATGCACATAAGTATAAGTAGGTACACAATTTGCTAAATAGGTAATATAGCTAATATAGTTGACGTGTTGATAAATAAGCCTGTTATTTATTATTATTAATTTGTTGTTGCTGTTGTTGTTTTTGAGTTATTTAAAGTTTTTTAGAGTTATTAGAGATTACATTGGTTTCGGAACAAAGTTAGTTTTATACAAGTTTGAAATGTTTTTGGGTTAATAAAAATTCATAAAGTTGTTAGTGTTTAAAATAAGTTCTTTTATTAACGTTTTCAGAGTGTTTAAGTTATTCGATTTTTTCAGTTGAGAGTTTAAGGATATTAATTTGTTATATAGACAAGGACCACGGTACGAAATAGAAAAGCGCGAGAGATTAGTTTTTTTAAAAGGTACATTAAATATTTCCGTTCCTCTAGTATGGTATCTGTTTTTGCTTTTTTGAAAGAATTTCATTATAAAGTGAGAAGGGACAAGTCCAAGTTTTATTTAAGCATTAACAACAAATTTCGGAATTTATTGATTTGATATACATTTAATGCTTTTAAACTTTTTAAAAGTGGCTCAGCATGCGAGAATCTATCCTGATTAAAAACTATTATAGCAGCATGCTTTTGTTTCCGATATAGTATAGTTAGTTTAATTTTATGAGTACTTGCCCATGCAACATTTGCGTATATGAAGTAGCTTTGTATGAACGAGAAGTATAGGAACCTTAATATTATCAGGAGACAATATAGAACTAGCTTTGTAAAGGATATCTATGTTTTTTGATGTTTAGGTATTTAATATATCTGTATATGATTTCATTGAGATATTCTAATCAATAAGTATCCCTAGAAATTTATTTGCTTGGGTTCTCTCTATTTTTTATGTATCTATATTTAGCAAAGGTAAATCGGGAGGTATTTTTATATGGTTAGAATGAAAAAGAATGTATTTTGTTTTTACTGTGTTTAGCGATAATTTGTTCGATTTTAACCAACTGTTTATTTTTTCATGTTCAGTATTTGTAGTTTTATAAAGTTCTGTAATAGATGAGGATGCATATAATAAATTAGTGTCGTCTGCGAGCATTATGACATCCAATTTACTTGTGGCTTTAGGAAGATCGTATATGCATATTAAAAACAAAAGAGGTGGAAGAATGGGGGACCTGGGGGGACACCGCATTTTATTTTGAGTAATTTTGAAAATTTTTTTCATGAGCATTTACGCACTGTCTTCTGTCTAGTAAAAAGTTTTTGAATCAGTTTAGCGCAACACCTATTATCCCATATTTTTCCATTTTCCTAATTAAGATAGCGTGATCTTTTGTGTCAAACGCCTTAGATAAATCAACAAAGACTTCAAGGACGTATTTCTTGTTTTCAAAAGAGTCATTTATATTGTTTATAAGATCAAGAATAGCGTGTTCGGTTAAATTCTAGTTAAAGTATTCAGCGATAGAAATTTTGTCGATGTATTCAGTTTCGTGAACGATAATTTTATCGGGTAAATTATTTGATTTTGTATGGTTTTTACCGATTATTTCCTTCAATATGTTCCAGGTTTTTTTAATATTACTTTTGCTTTTTTGTATTTGTTTTGAATAATATACTTTTTTTGAATACTTTATAATTTTTTCAAGTAAATTTTTGTATTTTTTGTATGTAGTTAAGTTAGTTTTGTTTCTGTTTTTTAAATACTTGATATAGAGTTCTTGCTTTGTTTTTGATGATTATCTAATCCCGTTAGTTATCCATGGACAGTTTAAATATTTTAGCTTTACTTCTTTCTCTTTAACAGGGAAATGTTTATTGTAGTGATTTAGAAAAATATTTATAAATAAATTTTATGCAGAGTTTGTGTGTCCAAGGTTACGTTCTTTATACACTCCATCGCAATTTACTACCGATAACGAGTCTTTAAAATTTTTAATAGAGAACTGATTGATTTTTCTTTTAATAATTTTGGCTTTAGGATTATTCTAGGCTCTTAAATCTTGAGAAAATGAAAAATAAATAAGAAAATGATTTTATATATCGGTTTTGATTATTCCTGCTTTTAAAGAGGTTTCAAGAAATATATTTGTTAATATATTGTCAATAGCAGAAACGGAGTTTGGGATTTCCCAGGTAGACTTGTTGATGATTGGAAGGATACACAATTGAAACAGATTATCAAAAAAGAGTTTATTAATCGCATTTTCTTTGTAGTTTAGACTGTTATATTTAATTCCCCTAAAAAGAAAATATTTTTTCCCTTTTCATTTATTTTGAGAAAGACTTCATTTAAAAAATTTGAAAACTTAATTATATCACCTTCTGGAAGTCTATTTCAAGTAAAAATTATAATATTTTTTGATTTATTACCCGTTATCTCAATAGTAAAGACTTCGCTATCAGTATAAGAGATAGAGAGGTCTTGTCTTACTTTAAACGCTTGATTATTTCGGATATACGTTGCGTATCCTCCCCCCTTTTGTTTGTTTTTCTTTCAAAAGATATTAGTTTATAATGTGGAATTTGGAAATTTGAGTTCGCTTTAAATGATTCATCAGAACACCTCGTTTCGGTTATGAAAATAATACTGAATGAGTAATTGCAATCTATTAGAAAGTGTTGTAGTTTATCAAAATTTTTATTTATCTTAAATTTCACGGTCGTTTACAAGCGCTGTGTTTAGGTACGCATGCGTGAGAAAATGCGAAAAACCTTTGAACTTTTAAAATGGCTACGGTTCTTAACTACAGAGTATATTTTATATGGCAACCGTGTTATTTGTTATTTAATCTTTGAAAACTAAATGTTGTTGCCTTATTTTTATGTAAATCAGTATATTATTACAAAAATATAAATAAAAAAAGGATAAAAAATATCTTAGAGTACTTAAACTTTATTTTCAATTAACAACGTTTTGGTGTTATTCATAGATTTGTTTATTTATTTAAAATTAATTTTCTTAAAATCTGACTGTAGGATTTCAATAATTTTTTTTTAAACTTCAGATAAATATGTTCTATATTTATGACATTTTTTGGTCACTGCTTCAACTTTTTTTTAATATAAAAATTTGTTTTTACTGCTATGACTATTTACTAATATTAGGGTTATATATTTGTATATATATATATATATATATATATATATATATATATCATATATATATATATATATATATATATATATATATATATATATATATATATATATATATATATATATATATATATATATATACATATATATATATATATATATATATATATATATATATATATATATATATATATATATATATATATATATATATATATATATATATATATATATATATATATATATATATATATATATATATATATATATATATATATATATATATATATATATATATATATGCTTTTGTTACCTAAAGTATGCTAATATTTTTTCGCAGTAAAATTCTTTGCAAGTAATATAAAAAAATTTATGATGCAAGTATGCATTTTTTAACTGTATAAATGCATATATTTGCATATATAAACTGTTTAAATGCATGTATTTGCACATTTATATTTAAAAAATAGGGAAAGTCTTAAAGAGTATTCTTTTTTACTGCATTTTTTACTTTTTTGTTGCAATATTTAACAAACTTAGTACGAAGTATAAAATATTTTCATATAAAAAAATCTTTAAGCTATTTAACTGGTAGGATAATTTTTTTAATAATAATTTTAGTTTTTAGTTATGTTAATATTAATTTGATTTATCTAACTTACTTATTTACAGTTAAACAAAAAGTGCAAAGTGTAAAATATAAATAACTTTTTGAAAGGAATGGCGTTAAGTCTGGAACATCTTCAACACATAAACTAATAAATGAAACAGTTCTAAAAGTAGTTCTATATTATTTTTTGCAGGTTGATCATTATTTGTGTAATGCTTTTGTGACATAATTATTATAGATTTTTTACTTAAGTACACAGAGCAAAGGTTTCATCTGCAACCAGTCCTTGCATAAATTATGTAATAGAATAGTGCTTGTATTGAAACTATTTTTAAAATTATCAACTCTTGTTTGTGAACGACAATTGAAAATGAAGCTTCTGGGAGATCACAAATGCTATAATTGAAATACACCATAGAAGAAATAAAAAAGCAAAACAAAGACATTTCGTTTTTTTTTTTTATTATTTATTTGGTTTTTATGCTATATTTTTCTATACAATGTTCTTATATCCAAATATATTGTTGGCTTAGCATAGGAACAGCCACAAATAGTCAATAAGACTAATCCAAAGTAGCGTCCGTTATTGACCAACATTTTTGCGTGCGGAATTACTACTCGAGCGGTGAGTTGGCGGTGGCGGGATTTGAACTCGTATCCGTTCAACAGACTGGGTATTAACTTTTCCTTTAACCCTCTAACCATCTGAGCTATCCCGCCACTACTATATATATATATATATATACATATATATATATATATATATATATATATATATATATATATATATATATATATATATATATATATATATATATATATATATATATATATATATATATATATATATATACTTATATACTTATATATACATATATAAATGTATATATTTATATATATATATATACATATATATATATATATATATATATATATATATATATATATATATATATATATATATATATATATATATATACATATATATATATATATATATATATATATATATATATATATATATATATATATATATATATATATATATATATATATATATATATATATATAACTTTATTTATTGGTGTTTAACTAATTATTAACACATTTTACTACAGATTTATATTTTTGTTAATGTGTATGAAATTGAATTCTGTTTAATAATTCAATTTCATACACAAATAAACTATAAAAGTGATTTAGTTTTTTAATGAGAAATCAGTAAAAAAAATTAAAAAAATAATAAGAGTTAATCTATTTTTGTTTTGTTATTAATACTACACTTTAATATATTATACTTATTATTCAATTTAAGTATATTTTACTATTTCTCTCAGGTCTACTAAAAATGTAAATTGTCTTTATAGCTCAGTATCTTTGATTTTAAATGACAGTAAGTGTACTTCAAAAATTCTAAAATTACTGACGTCAATTGAATTATTTGAAAGCAAAAATTTTTACACATAGTATGATTATTTTTTTCAACATAGATTTAGAATTCTCAGCTTTCTAAATTTGCTTTTTTTTGCTGTTTTGTTTAAATACACTGACAGTTTTTCAACAATAATATGATTTCTGAATGTCATCTTTCAATTGCCTGATAGCATTATATAATTTTATAAAGCAACCTATTGAACCTATCTATGCTGATATTGGTTTCAAAAAATAATCTTAAATTATAGTTTTTTAATACCCTTATAAAGCCTTGCATCCAAAAATTAAATTGTTCAATTAATATTTTGTTGTGCAATTTAGATAAAGCAAAAAAAAAAAGTGTTTTATGCTTTAAGCCAAATTATTTTGTGGCACTGCTTAAATATTTTCCCAAAAAATGACCAGCTGTTATTATAAGTGATTCAAATTTACTCAGCATCAAAAAATATAAATTTTTAAGTCTAGTTTTCCACCTACAAATAACAAAATACAAAAACCAATTCAGTCTAAATTATTTTTTCCTACTGTTTCTAAGAACACTTCAGATAAGTCTGATATTTGTTACAAAACAGTTAAAACTAAAATATTTATCTCAAAAGATGCCAACAACAGTGATAAAAACACTCTTGAATCTATGTTCCACTAAAGGAAAACAATATTTTTGACATTGTTTATTAAATAAACATCAGTTAGCATCTTATTTAAACTATGATGATTCATCATATCATCTGTGTGGTAAAAAATCATCATATCATCTGTGTGGTGAAAATTTAAAATCAGGAACAAATGATAATGAAATGTTATCTCTAATAAATAGTCTAAGTTCCAGATAAATGCTTCCAATTCCCTTTAACAGGTAAAAGCAGAAAAGACATTTTTTGCTAAAATGGTTAGTTGACTTTTCTTTGCTTACTTTAAAATTTTACTCTAAAATTGAAGATGGTGCATATTGTCTTCCATGTACACTTTTTGGTACAAACATACCAAACAAATATGCATTATGTAAATTGTTTAAAAAACCATTTAATATCTGACGTAATGCTATAAAAGATTTAAACTATCATGAGAAAACTGTTGACAGATTACATATCAATTTATACATTGTTATAATATGCTTTTATCTAGAACTAAAATTAACACTTTTCCTATTGAAGTTTTTCAAGATATTTCTAGGAAGTAGCATATATAAGAAAACAAAAAAAAAGCTTGAATCAATTGTTAAGACTATAATATTTTTAGGTCGAAATGATATACCTCTACAAGGTCATAGAGACAATAGAAAATACCAAGGAGAAATTGGAGAAACTTTAAATATTACATGGATGGGTAATTTTATTAAGCTTTTAAATTTTAGAGTTAATAAAAATGATTTAATTCTAAAGGAATCTTCTCTCTGCTCCCAAAAATTCTACATACATTTCAAAGACCATTCAAAACGAGTTAATTAAGTGTTGTGGAAATGCAATTGAAGAAATTCTATTAAATGATATTAAAAAAAGTAAATACTTCTTTATTATTGCACACTAGGCTTCAGACTGTGCAACAATAGAACAACTTTCTATTGTCATACGTTATGTTGACTTGAACAGTTATATTAAGGAAGTTTTTTTTACGTTTTTTGAATGCAAAACAGGAACAAGTGGTTTAAACATAGCTACCAACATTCTTGAAATTTAAAAAAAATTTGATTTAGATATAAGAAAATGCAGAGGCCAGTATTATGATGGAGCTGCTTCAATGTCAGTTTAATACAAAGGTGTTTCACCTCTTATAAAAAATGTTAATTCTAAGGCATTATTTGTGTGCCTCGCATAAACTTAGTTTAGTTGTTGGGAAAAGTTGCTAACTCAAGTGAAAAGTTTGCTTTAAAGCAAGTTAAAGTCTTATTTTTTGAACTTTTCTCCTAAAAGATGTAATTGCTTAAATAAAAACTTTCTTCCTGGTCAAGCAAAACTTATTGACACATGTCAAACTCGGTGGGTACAAAAGCTTCGTGGACTTGGTTTTTTGATAATTATTCTACAGTTTTTTCTGCTTTTGAAGAAATAAAAGACAATAATTTAAAAGAGTACAATGAAAAAACATCTTTAAAAGCATCTTCTTTTATGAAGTTATTGACAATTTTTTTTTTAATAGTTTCTTTAGTTTTAATTGAAACATTTAATGGATTACTTTTATGGAATTTCTGTCACCCTTGAAAATAAATCTTTTGATATTTCCCAGCAACTGGAATAAAATTGCTCTTGCATTGGCTAAAACATTTGATATTGATGGAAAAAAACCTAGAACATGTGGTGTTCAAAAGCATATAGATAATTAAATTTGTGATACTGTATCTAATAGTTTAAAGTTTCTATTACATTGCCTCTTCTTAATCATCTTCTTAATGAACTAGAAAATAGGTTTGATATTGAGAGCTTAATTGTTTATAATGGCCTTTGTGCTATTCCTGCTAGTTTAATAAAGTAAATTTTTAGATATTGTCCATGGAAAGAAAAGTTCCTGATATTTTTGAATTTTTGTAAATCTGATCTTTCTCATTTCTCATCAATTAATGCTGAATTAGAGTTATAGGTGGAAATTTTGGAAAGAAAAGACAGAATTATCATCTACTATTTCAGATACATTTAAGTCTAGAGATATGAGAGGCTTTCCAAACATTTTAGAGGCATTTCATATACTTGCTACAATACCAATCACAACTTGTTAGTGTGAAAGGTCAATATCTACTCTTAGGAGAATAAAAACTTACACGAGAGTACAATGTCAGAAAATAGATTGAATGGACTTACTTTAATGTCTATTTAATGTTATTGAAGTATTTGCATGCAAAGAAGACTTAAAATTAAATTTATTCAAATAAAAATTTTGAATTTCTGAGTAAAATATTTAAGTACTGTTTTAAAAGTATCTCGTAAATGTAAATAATTTCTCAATAGCAAAATATTTCTACTCATTGTTTTAAACATGTAAACTGTGAAAATCATTTTTTATTAGCAAATTATTACTATTCATTGTTTTATATAAACTGTGAAACTCATACTTCATTTGCTATTTCTTTTAATTCCTAATGTTGAAAGTGTTTTCATGTGATTTAGGTTGTTACTTTTTTGATTGATGCTTTATTTGTTGTATTATATTTTGTCTTGTTTATTTATTAATTAAAATTTATTTAAAAAAAAATGAAAAAATTTTTTAAATGTTTTAAAAATATTTGTACATAACTGCCTATCAAAAAAAAAAAAAAATCCAGAAATAGTGAGCTAACCTTAGGCAACACGACAGTTTACTGATGGAGTGCAAAGCCCTATGGCTTACCTTCTCGTTGGTGCACTTCGTTAAGTGATTTAGACAAGTACTATGTCAAATTTATGAACTAAATAGCCAAGGCAATATTTTGAATAACTTTATTGTTAAATGGATAACTAAAAACAAAACAAAATAAACTTTATCACGATTGACTCGATTGTTTAGAACAACTTTGCATTAGCAGAATATTGTCAAACAAACACGAAGTAAATAGATTTCGATAACAAGTAAAAAGTGAAATATCTGATTTACAAGTCGACTCCTCGTATATAACATTTTTTTACCTATAATGCTTTTTAATATTTTATGTAATAATTAATAATTTTAAAAATGTATACGTTTTTGAATTACACAATTGTTTAGAGAGTTTATTTCTACCGAGAAATATCAAAATTAAGTGTTTTTTTTATTCAAACAGAAAGCTATTTCTACTGAATAAGATTAAAATATGATATAATTTTTGTAAATCTATGTATATAATATAAATGATCTCTTATTAATTTTATTAATTAATTCCTTATATAAAAATTCGTCGGAGACTCATTTCGTCTACAATAAAACAACAAAGTTTTTAGGCTCAAGCGTGAAAACTATTATACTTATTGTAATAATGGCGCTCTCAGATTATTAAATCTAGAGTAGTTAAGTAAAGTAGGTTAGTCTCCCTACGTATTAAAGTTTAAAAAAATGATACATAATGAGTCCATGGGATTACTTCATCGGTCCTTCCCACAGATAAAAACAAAAGTAAAGAAATTTATCTTAAAATGAGAGGAGGGAATAGGGTGATGTCATCCCCTCTTCCTCCACTGGCCAATATCGAATTGTATTTGGCAATTTTAAATATAGTTGGCAAATTTTTTTACATTTTAAAGTCGGCATATGTAAAAAATTTAAATTTTAACTTTTTTTTTTTTGTCGTTTATCGTTTATGGCACTTCCCCCTCCCCCCTAATCACTCAATAAAAAAATTAGCTGTTCGCGCCGTCCGCGAACCCGGACTTGGCCACACAGTTACAAGTTCCTGGATCCGCGCCTGAATTTATAATTTACACTAAAAAGGTATTAAATAAAAATAAAGTTTAAGCGCGCAAAGATTTTTGTTACATCTATTTATTTATATTTTTGTGAAATTTTTGTATTATTATATTGATTTACGTTAAAAATAAAGCTACATCATTGGCTTTTTAGAAATTAATTAACAAATAATCTGTTGCCATATAAAATATTCTCTGTAGTTAAAAACCGTAGTCATTTTAAAAGTTCAAAAGTTTTTCGTATTTTCTTACGCATGCGTACCTAAACAGCGCTTTTTACTACCGTGGTTTATGTGTATTGCAGTAAAATTATTTTTTAACGGTTTTAAAAGTTTCTGTTTCAAAATAATTCGAATCAAAATTATTTTTGTGAAAAATTTGCGCATTTACGCAGAGTCGTAAAAACTATTCCGTAAAATATTATTAGCAGTTTCAAAACCTTTGGTTTTGTTTTTGTTTTCGTTAGTCATGGCTTGTGGAGCCGACTGTTTTTTTGACGGCTCGGCTCCGGCTCCTAAGAAATACCCGGCTCCGGCTAGGCTCCCGGCTCGACTCCAGCTCCTTAATCCTGTGAACAAAAAAGTTTTAAAATTATTTTTAATCACATTTGCCAAATCAAAACTGTACCAGTTACAGCAATTAATTTTTAACCAACTCTCATGATTACAAGTTTGTTGTATTACTATTACAAGATATAACATTTGAAAAGAAAATTTTTTTGGGTAAATAAACACTTTCCTTTATATATTATTTACCCAAAACTAAAGTTTTTGTTACAAATTTCAGTTTTAATTATACCCTGGGGGCACAATACTTAAAAAAGACGTCTTTTAAACGTCCCAAAGACGTCCAAAACGTTCAAAAAGCATCTCAAACGTTCAAAAGACGTTTAAAAGACGTCTTTCGTATGCTTTCACTGAGTCCAGTACTCACTGGGTATCCAGTGGGCACGGGACCTCCAAAAGACGTATTTTGAGCGTTTAAAAGACGTCCAAAACGTTCAAAAGACGTTGAAAACACCCCAAAGACGTTCAAAAGACCTCTTTTAAATGTTCCATGCCCACAAGGTGTGGGTAAAAAAAAACTGCGTTTTTTTTACCCACAGGGTAAAAAAAATGAAAAATAGTTAGTTTAACTAATAGTTAGTTTAACTAATGCAAAAACTACAAAAAATAATTGTTTTAATCTAAAGAACTTGAAGATTATAAAAGTGCTTTTTACTTTAATATTTTTATTATTTCAAATAAATAAGCAAACATTTACGCTTATAAACGACATCAACTTCTCAATGGGACGGAATTGTGTGCAAATTGATGGATTCAAGATTTTTGGTATGAATTTGATGTCTTCTTAGAATAATGACAAGAAGCAAGATTAGGCCAGAACCAACAAAGGACATCGTGATTTCAATAAAGTTCCAAAAGTCTAGCTTGCAAGTATTCTTTGATGTAAACATTCAAGTTTGACGATGTGACAAAAGCTCGCGATTTCAAACTGCAGCTGCATATTGCTTGCCAAATTTTAATCTTTAAAAAACTCTGAAACTTTATATCCCTTGGCTCGTACTCTGTTCGATAAGCCGGGGTTTTGTGTGAATAATCGTCGAATACTAATTACGGTTTTCTTACCCTTAAAGCTACTCTTTCATCCAGATCCTTTTGCTTGTTTGATAGATAGAGAGCTCTTGTATTGTTTTATGACAATGCAAACAGTAGTTTTGCTAGATTAAGATGCCTTAGCAATTGAAATTAACGATGTAGAAGGACTTTGTAAATAGTTGTGCAGAATTTTTTTTCGTTTTTCTATATGTTTCAATGACATTTTAATTAAGAGAAACAATTTGATTCGTTTGTTGATGTTTTTTAATTAACACCATATTTACTTTATGTAATTACGCGAAAAAAAAATTTAATAATGTGTTAGTGACAAATTTTAAACAAAACTTATCGTTCCAAATTAAACGATCGCATCTTTAGTTTAATTTTAAAGATATCAATAACCATAAGAGATTTTCTGGATGAGCAAAATAGCCGTTACGTTGTAATACAGGATCTACTACCCATACCGGTCTCAGACGTTTGCTAATGCAGGAAGTGGTTGCCGACATTGAAAGTACGAAAAACTAATAATGTCAATGGAAGAAACATCGGAAATATTACCTTTATTAATGTAATTATCATCTTCATCACTTTGAGCTGTAGATCGACTTTCAAAATCACCAACCGTAGACACAGACAAGGCATTGCGATGCTTATTTCTACGCCGTTGCCCAATACTTTTTCTTTTGAACTTCATAGCCAGTTTATTTGATGCAAGTTTATCAACATTGCCAATGCACATCAATTTGAGAATTCTCTGATCCTGGATAAAATCTTGCTCTGCAGGAGGAACCTTGCGAGTTTTGTTACATACACACTTCTCAAACACACACTTACAGGTGCAGATGTCAAAGAATTTATGTCTAGCATCTTCTTTAAAAGCGTTCACTTTGCTATCATAATTACTGCGCTTGATGTTTCGCAATAGTTTTCTGTATTTATCATGATAGGAGTGAATCACCTTTAATACCCGTGTATGAGTAATCATCGGTAGTGACGCTTTTAACCATATTTTTTTCAACAACTTGTGCAACTTTTTCAGAGATTTCTGTTATAGTAGGTTCTTTCGTAGCAGCTGTTGGTTTCAGTTGATGTTTTACAAGCAAGTAATGTTTCATTACACCTTCATATGTTGGTAAAACAACATGCGACATCTCTTTAGGTATACCAAAGGCAGGACAAGTCAGCATCATCCTCGCTCTCACTAACCTAATAGCCATATTAAAACTTGTTCTATAATAAACAATCTTTGTATTAGATTCATAAGTAATTATTGATTTATACATTAATCTAGCCATAAATAAAATTAAAAGCTAAACTAAAATATCAAACATTAGTAACAATTTCTTGATATGCAAAGAAATATATTGAAAAGTATTAAAAGAAATATATTGAACCGCTTAGATAATTACTTCTAAATAATAACTAAAAAAAGGTTAATAAAACACATTTTACGTCAATATAACATTAAGTTAACAAGTATGAGACAAAACAAAATGTATTGTTTATATGTATTTTTGTTTGAAATGACTTTGTTATGCAATTCAATGAAAATTAATTTTCCAATTCAATTGATCAAGTCTTTTCTTCCATTTCATTGCGCAAATTAAATGCTCGTTCAAACTGTTGTTCTCCATTGTAGCGAAATGTATACAAACTTAATGATACAAAAACGACAGACTAGCTCAGATAACTAAAAATTTAATTAAAGATGGTGACTTAGCAACTTCGCGGTAAATTTAACACCTTGACAAGCTTAAAACATTTAATTTTAAACATTTATTGAACAATTATAAAGGTGAAATAATCAAGATAACCAAAACAGGTTAGGTGAAACCAATGGCGAATTAAGACTTTTCAGGACCTTTTTTATGTGTCACAGCGTGAAGATGACTAAAAAAAAACTTTTTTTTTTTTTTTAAGTTGATTTTATGTGCCCTAAGAAGTCCTTACGGTCTTATCACAGAGCACCGCGGAAGAGCATTTAATAGGAAGTTCACGCCTCCTTCCCAACCGATGTCGCAAAACTTGCCCAGAGGTGGGGTTTGAACCACGGACCTTTTCTGAGGCAAGTGCGCTACCACTGCGCCACGGTTGCTCAACTTGTCTTGACTCTTTTGGGGGGCCTGGGGCTTTAGCCCCATTACCCTACCTAAACTAGCCCCCTTCATACAGCACTAGGTGAAACAATACTATTAGTAATGAGGCTTAGGGTATTAATAAAGAAAAAAATACAGTTTTTATTTTAAAAAGTTATGGCTAAAACAGGCTGTTTTCATGAAAATTACCTATTTTTCAGTAACTTTGACCCCCTTGAGGCAGCTGAAGACATTAAATTTTTGAGGAAACTTTATTCACTTTATTTAAACACATATCAAAAGGCAACTTTTTGTTGCTATTACATATCAATAGTTTACTATTTATATTTTTACCTAAAGTTTCACTGCACCTAATGTTCACTGCGCAAATCATTCGTTGGATCTTGTTTTACAAAAGGTCAGCTC